ATCGGGCCCAACAAGTGGTATCAGAGCCAACGGTTCGGCTGGGTTTGATGCGGGAAGACCCTCAGTGTTGTGCCTCGCGATGGAGATCTGAACTTGGTGCCTTGTGTCGAAAGTCTTCCTGATATTGTGGTGTTCAGGCGGCGTGTCCCGTAGAGTTAACGGCAGTACAAGATGGTGGCAGATTATCGCTTGAGGGGAGGAGGTCACGAGACATGTGGTCCTTGGTCTGAGGGGAGGTTTGTTGGGATTCATCCCAAGTTCCACATCTGTAAAATGAAGGAACATTGGCTAGTTTATAAGGGTGTCCACCATTCCATATAGGATGAGGCCTTTTGGGAAGGAGCCCAAGAAACAAAACCGTGCGGGCCTAGCCCAAAGCGGACAATATCATACTATGGAGGAACAGGTGGACTATCGGGCCCTACACAAATTTTAAAAATTTTAAATTCATTTATTTTATATTTCTCCTTCTTATACGTGTTAATGTTGCAACTGGAATGGTCCGTTCTCCAAGAAGAACGGGTCGTTCTGCTTACACATGTAGTCTGTTAATTTTGAAACTGGAACGTCCAAGCAGAATAGCCTGTTTTGGTCCATTGTCATGTGTGTATTTTTACATCCGGAACGGCTCGTTCTAAAAGGAGAACGGGCCGTTCTGCAAGTGTTGCAAGGAGAACGAAGCGTTCTGAAAGGAGAACGGGCCGTTCTGGATCCAGTTTTACACCATGCTCAGATTTAAAATGCAAAAAAAATAATTAACAGCTCATTATTCGAATCCCTGGGAATCGAATTCTGAACATGAATAGTGAAAGGAGCTACTTGGATAAATAAATTAGTACAGGTGCTTTTTTGGTAAATTTTTTTTAAAAAATTCTAATTTAGTGAAAAATTCTCACTACGATTGATATCAATACCCTTTTCATTTTGTTTTCAATGTTATTTGAATTTAAAATTTGAATATTAAATAATTTGACACGTAAGAAATTAAATAATATATAATTAATATTTATTTAGCATAAAATTCACATTACTAATGTGTTAAATTTTGGATGGTACGTAAATTGTTTGTGGGATTAAAATTGCCCATTTATCAGGAAGACTTTCGACACAAGGCACCAAGTTCAGATCTCCATCGCGAGGCACAACACTGAGGGTCTTCCCGCATCAAACCCAGCCGAACCATTGACTCTGATACCAATTGTTGGATTGAGCGCTTACCACTACGCCAAAAGCTATAGCTTATAGTCAGGGCGCAACTCTTTTTACTTAAGAGCGCAGCAGCCCAAGCGCCATGATTCGACAGTGACTTGGCCCACCTAGCCTCCGCCACGAGACAATTGATGCAACCCGCAACAATCTCCCCCTCAGCAATTGCCCCGCTGGGTATCGAACTCATGACCTTGGCTCTGATACCAATTGTTGGATCGAGCGCTTACCACTAGGCCAAAAGCTATAGCTGATAGTCAGGGCGCAACTCTTTTTACTTAAGAGCGCAGCAGCCCAAGCGCCATGATTCGACAGTGACTTGGCCCACCTAGCCTCCGCCACGAGACAATTGATGCAACCCGCAACAATTTGAATATTAAATAATTTGACACTAAGAAATTAAATAATATATAATTAATGTTTAAATCTCGCAACAGGCTTCCCTCCAGAGTTGTTCAACTCGGCTAAGGACGCACCTCAAATCTCGCAACAGGCTTCCCTCTCGAGTTGTTCAACTCGGCTAAGGACGTGCCTTGAAAATCCTACCAAGAATACAAAACCAAAGTAAACCTGTTCGGATTTGTCAAAGAAAAGGCACAAATCCGAAACAAGTCTGTTCGGTTTTGCCTAAAAAAGGCCCAAATCCGAAGCAAACCTGTTCAGATTTGTCAAGAAAAAGAACACAAATCTGAAACAAGTTTGTTCGGTTTTATCAAAAAAGAACACAAATCCGAAACACGTTTGTTCGGTTTTATCAAAAAAGAACACAAATCCGAAGTAAACCCATTCGGATTTGTCAAAGAAAAGACACAAATCCGAAGTAAACCTGTTCGGATTTGTCAAAGAAAAGGCCCAAATCCGAAGCAAACATGTTCAGATTTGTCAAGAAAAAGAACACAAATCCGAAACAAGTTTGTTCGGTTTTATCAAAAAAGAACACAAATCCGAAGTAAACCCATTCGGATTTGTCAAAGAAAAGACACAAATCCGAAGTAAACCTGTTCGGATTTGTCAAAGAAAAGGCCCAAATCCGAAGCAAACATGTTCAGATTTGTCAAGAAAAAGAACACAAATCCGAAACAAGTTTGTTCGGTTTTATCAAAAAAGAACACAAATCCGAAGTAAACCCATTCGGATTTGTCAAAGAAAAGACACAAATCCGAAGTAAACCTGTTCGGATTTGTCAAAGAAAAGGCCCAAATCCGAAGCAAACATGTTCAGATTTGTCAAGAAAAAGAACACAAATCCGAAACAAGTTTGTTCGGTTTTATCAAAAAAGAACACAAATCCGAAGTAAACCCATTCGGATTTGTCAAAGAAAAGACACAAATCCGAAGTAAACCTGTTCGGATTTGTCAAAGAAAAGGCCCAAATCCGAAGCAAACATGTTCAGATTTGTCAAGAAAAAGAACACAAATCCGAAACAAGTTTGTTCGGTTTTATCAAAAAAGAACACAAATCCGAAGTAAACCCGTTCGGATTTGTCAAAGAAAAGGCATAAATCCGAAGTAAACCTGTTCGGATTTGTCAAAGAAAAGGCCCAAATCCGAAGCAAACCTGTTCAGATTTGTCAAAAATCCGAAACAAGTTTGTTCGGTTTTATCAAAAAAGAGCAAAAAATCCGAAACAAATTTGTTCGGTTTTGTCCAAAAAAGAGTACAAATCCAAAGTAAACCCGTTCGGATCTATCAAGAAAAGGCACAAATCCGAAACAAGTCTGTTCGATTTTGCCTAAAAAAGGAACATGCCCAATGCAAATCACTTCGGTTTTACTAACAAAGTATAAATTTAAGGCAAAGTCCTTCGGTTTTGTTTTAAAAAGAGTACATTTGAGGCAAATTACTTCAGTTTAAGAATTTGGAGTACGAATGGTTATCTTAATTAAAGACAAATACTTGAAAATTAACTGAGTAAAGTGAATTTCTGAAGAGAAATATCATTGCATTCAAAAGAAGAAGGCTCTATTGGCCTCCAGATTACAAAAAAATTAAAAGTTGCAACAAAGAAAAACCTAAACGCTACTCTTCAGGAGTGCGAGTTGAGTCAGCCTGGATGGCGGTTTCGGGATTTCCCTCGATCTCAGTATCGGGCCCAGGGTTACCTTCGTCCATCGTGTTCTCTTCAGAAGTTTCAGCATCATCCTCTTCTCGGGGAGCAGCATTTCGGTCGGCATCGTCAGGCTCACCTTCCTCGGGCATATCGGCAAAAGACATGAGAGACCCCTTATAGAAATCTTGAGTCATGTCAAACTCAAAACCTTCTTCAAATTGACCAACGCGCCTAGCCTGCCGAACGGCCTGTTTGAACCCTGCTTCATGTTGAGAAACTATCTTCTCTTTAGCCTGCTCTTTGAGGGCATTATATGCAGCTTCAGCTTCTTCCACTCGGCGACGTCCTTCATTGATTATTTTTTGAAGATCCAAGCGCAGAGTATCATTCTCTCGCCGAACGGCATTTAACTCGGCAGCTAGATCCTTATTTTAAGCGGTCACCTCTTCATTGACCGAAATCGCCTCGGCTGCAGTCTTTTCGGCCTCCTCGAGACTTTGCTTTAAATTCATGACCTCGCCGAGAGGCTCCATGGCAAGGTGATGAGCTAAAGCCAATGAACGAGTTTTCACTTCGCAGAATAACCTCCATTTGGCTCTCACATCTAAGCTTGCCAAAAATTCTTGCCCGAATGGAGAAACAATATCAGGCCGAATCACTGACTCTGCCGGAGCATCTTCACTAAGAAAGGCCCGAGACATCAGTTGAGGAGGCACCACAATAATGGTACGATTGGGAGATAACTCAGGCATTGACTTGGATTTCTTTGATTGCTCCGGTTGATCATCAGAGCTCTTCCTTTTCTTGTGCTCTCGGGTGGTTTCCTTCCCTTTTCTGCCCTAGGTGGTTTCCTTCCCTTTTCTACCCTTCTTTTTGCGTTCCGGAGGAGGGGGAAGACGGTTATCAGTGTTGGGACGGTGGGAAGATGCAACAGCTGAAGTGCCGATTTCCCCCGATTGCCGAGCCTCCTTCACTCTTGCAGCAAGAAGATGTCGAATATTCAGGTCATCAACACCACTCTTAACCATGATTCCTGCAAGAAAGATTAAGTAAACATCAATAGGAATTAAGATGGTAAAGGTGAGAGGATAGACAGCATACCGATCAGGTCGGCCCACCAACGAGGAGACACTATCAAA